CAAATGGTAAGTATCAGTAGTACTCTTCCTATCCGATTCGCACCAGGAAAAATATGAATTAGATAATCCTACTAGGCTACACTTGCTTACCTTGAGAACCTAGAGATTCTGATGTGAAATTTTGCTATGATAGCTCAAAATTCTTTTAACGATCTTAAAATGGAATTCCCTCGATGACACTTGAAATAGAGCGCACATGCACATGCTAAATAAAATATTTGGCCTACTCGCAATTAAATAGAGTAAAGATCCTATGGCACCTACGAAGTAATTTAGTTGTCTCATCAATAATATTTCAAATCCCCTTCCATTATACTAGCAAATTCTTTGCATAGAGATACATTAATGGATCTAAAAATAATATCTTCAACATAAATATGAACTAATAATATTTTATTTTATTTACTCCTTATAAACAAAGTAGTATCTAACTTACCACGATTAAATCATTTCTTAATCAAAAAGAAACTAAAGCGTCCATACCAAACTCTAAGATCATGTTTAAGACCAAAGAATGCTCGTTTAAGTTTAAAAACAAAAAGACGATTTTCACAGTCCTCAAAACCCGAAGGTTGAGAAACATAGAATTCTTCGTTTATAAATTTATTAAGGAAAGCTGATTTGGCATCCATTTGATACGACTTAAAATCCAGACAATACACAAATACCAAAAGGAGTAGAATCATGTTAATACAAGCTACGAGAGAATAAGTCTCTTAATAGTCAATCCATTCAACTTGATTATATCCTTTTTTCCACAAGCCTATCTTTATTTCTATTAATTATGCCATTTTTATCCATCTTGTTCCTAGACACCCATCTAGTGCCAATGACGATTTGGTCTTTACGACATGGAACAAGGTCCCAAAATATGTTTTTATTAAATTGAATGAGATCTTCTTGCCTAACAAGGAGCCATCCCTTGTCAAGTAAGGCATAAGATATCGTCTTAGGTTCAATCTAGAAAATGAAATCATAATACTTACAAAAATTGTTAACCTAAGATCTAGAACTTATGTCCTTTCTAAAATTGTGATCTAATGATAAGTGTCAAAAACTCATAAAATACATAAGCACTTATTAAACTATTTTGTAAGAAATCAATGAAAAACATATAATTGATCAATAGAACATGATAAAAGGCTTATATGAACTTTTTAACTGTGTATTTGACAACTCTTTATTTATGAGAGAATCAAGCCTTGATACTTAACTTTATTTTTTTGTTAGCAAGCTTTTTAGGTTTATTTTACTTTATTGTTATTTGAGTTCATTTTGTGTAGAGCACAATAGGTGTTTCTTTTGTGAGTCTTATGTGTCTGTCACTTGTGTAGGACTACTTTATGATAAGTTCTGGCACGACAGAACTGGAGTTTCATTTCAACCTCAAATTCCAGCAGGACTTAGAGCCAAAAGTGGTTACAAGGAATAAAGGTCCTTGGCATTAGGGAAAACATGGAAACAATGTGAAGATAGGGGTGCAAGTAAGCTGTAAAATTGAATGGATAAAATCAAACACTACAAGACAAAACCCTATAAAAAAATTTGTACGCGAGATTGTGCGTGTTGATTGTCTATCTGCGTAGCAGACTTGCCACATGATAAGTTATCCCCTGCATGCTGGAATTATACTGCATGAAGCTTATTTGAAGGAAAGAAGGAGGATTATGCTAAGCTATTAGTCCAAAACAAGGAATATCCATAAGGCTCGTGATCCAATGACTAGACAAAAACCCTAAAAGTTAGAGGATCTAAAATGAATCTCTTGGACGAAATGGAGAGAGGTTCAGAAGTTGAAAAACTTGAGAAATTACATAGAAAATTATCTTATTGAAGAAGAAGAAGAAGTCTAAACCAGTGGTGAAGAGTTCCTTCCATGCTCCCTCCATCGAGAGTTGTTCCATTGACCTTATACATATGCTTTAATGTTGTATACATACACCACTAGATCACTTTCTGCCTTATCAGTCATGACAAATCTCATTAGACACATAAAATATGAACTTTCATTAGATAGATAATTGTCCAACATGCTTGTCATTATTGATTTAATTTCTTTATCTTCAATTATCATTTATAGTATTTCAACCTAAATTTGTAACAACTCATTATTATTGTTACTTTTTTTTTCATGACTATTCACAAGATTTTCATATGAGAATCAATTTAAGTTACTATAATCTCTGTGAGATGGATACTTTAACTTTTTCATCACTTTCTACTATTTGACTGTTCTTGGCACATATATACATTTTTTACATTAATATTCATTAAGTACGGGTAAAAAGAAGCAAGAAAACACCAAAACTAGTCAAAAATCACCAGAGCTCGCTAAGCCAAGAACACGACCACGCAAAGTAGGCATTTGCGAAAAATTACTTTAGAGCTAAGTAACTTCAAGGCTAAGCAACAAAACTTGCTTAGTGCAATATCAATTTCGCTAAGCAAGATATGGTAGTTCATAACTTCAAAGATAAATTACTTCATCGACAAAGAATTGTTTGCTCGCTATGCGAGCTTGGGCAGCTCATTAAACGAGGAAAGACAACAAAGGCAACTTGCAGTGATCTGGAAAAACTTATGGGAGAATAAAGTAGGTGCACTAAGAGAACTTTAAGCCCTGTTTAGCGAGAATATCACATTAGAACCCTATAAATAGAGATTTAGTCAGTTCATTTAAAGGTAACTTAGTTGAAATTTGGTAGTATTTTTTATTGAGATTGAAAGGGATCCATTGTATACACACACACAAAAATAGGAGAGGAAAAGAGAGGAAGATTGAGGGCACAAGCAATATCCACAACATACGCTTTTCAACTTATGTCTTCTAGGTCTTAATTGCAATGCTACAATGAGTAAGCGTAGCAAAATAATCAATTTGGTTAAGCAATTATAACGTTTTTTGTTAAACATTGTATTCATTTGTGTATTCTCCGATATCATTTTTTTTTTGTATTTTCTACTACTATTTTTTGAAATAATATATTTTATATAATCTATTTCATATTCTACTTTTCAAACAATTTATGAGTTGTATTTAATCCATACAAAGCAACGACATGATTTCTATTGTATCATGAAATACGTTCACTATCAAACATAAAAGTTAGGGCTTGACAATGATTACTACAACCAAAATAAGTTCATCATCACATACAAAGTTGACACTTAGAACTGACTAATACAACCAAAATAAATACACCATCAAATGCAAAAGTTGGCATTTGGTGGTGACTAATAGAATCAAATTAAATTTACCATCTTAACGACGGTGGCAAGAGTAACTGAGCTGACAACCAATGAGAGTAAAAGTTTGGTGGGAGCAAGTTTTTGTGACTTAAAGTATAGTTGTTAGAGCACCTCCAATGGTGCAACCTATTTTTAGGTTTTTTGTGGGACCCACTCTTTTAAAGCAACTCATTCAATTTTCACTCTAATGGTGCAACTCCAAAGAACCCATATTGGGTCCCACCACTTTACTTAAAGTATATTATTTATATTAAATTTATTTTATTTAAAATTATAATTTAAATATTTAAGTTTTAATTAATATAAATACAAATTAAACATAAAATTAAAATTAAACATAAAATTGAAAATAATAATTAAAATTAAATTTAAATACATGTCACATAATTAAAAACAATAAAATGATAATGAGAAGAAATTGTTGGAAAAAAGTTAAATATTTATGAATAAAATGATGAAATTGTGAGAGAGAAATTTGAAATTAAAGAGTAAATAAAAGTGAGAGAAAATAGGATTGGTATACAATTTTTCCAACAAACCTATATTTATAATAAATAAAAAAAGTTTAAAAAAAAATAATACTAAAGCCGTTGCACAACGGCTAAATGATTATTTTAATAATATAAAAAATGAAGAACCATTGCTTATGTTTGTAACGTTCACCAGCTGTAACAACTTTTTGTTGACAATTTCAATGTCAAGCTGTCAAACTAATTTGAAAAATCACCGTTGGAGGTGGTCTTAGCTTTGTTTTTAGTTTTTGGTTGCGTAAACAAAGATGAGGAAGAGTTAGAATGATGAAAATTTTAGACATATTAATGTGTCGAATAAAAGATTGAATGGATAACTATAGTCATCGAATCAGTTTATCGATTTAACTGTTCCTAAAAACTAAAATAGAGTACCGAACCAAACCATCTTGATTTTCATCAACTCGATTTGATTCTTAAACTAAACCAAGACAAGTAAAAAAAATTTCAAGTTTGTTTTATTTATCGATTTTTTGGATCCACTTGTACCTCTATTTTTTTTTACATATTTTAAATTGTGTTTTGAAGTGAATTGATTAACAACTTTTTTTTATTAATTGTCAACAACAAAAAAATTAATAAATTTATCATAGATCTAACTTACTTTTTTTCTACGAGTATTTAACTTACTTTCTTAATCACTTTAACATTAAATAAAAATAACTATCTACCATGAAGATTAACTTTCTAAAAATAATAAAAATTATTAACAACTTTATTATATATCACTACTATTAACAATGTAAATCTTTGTGTAACAAATTTTTCCAGGTTTGATAGTCTCTAACTAGAAATAGTAATGGAAAGAAACACAAGACACAGAAGATAAGAGAACAGAAACACAAGATCAGAACCTTAAACCTTAATTTCCTTGATTCACATTCAACAAACATCTCTCACAGGGTAGCCACTACACAGAACCTCTGTAAGGAAGAAACCTTTTTACAATTTTCAACCCATGAAATAATCACAGGTAAAAAGTCAGTGTTACATAATAACAACAACATTAAAAAAATAAAACCACCAAAAATAAATAGGTTGTTGAAAATGAAACATCACTCTCAAGAATTAAAAAAGAATGAGAATCCACCCAAATGGCCATGAAAAAGTGGAGATTAAAAAAAGAGAATTTCTTCATCTTTGTTGATCTCATAGATCGATCAAGCTTCTCCAAATTATCATAACCATATATATCAGACATCTTGTTCTTGTAATTGTTGTTCATCGTATCATGGATGTCAGAGACTGAAAAACAACTTCTTGACAAGGAATGGTAAGACCCATATCATGGTCGAATCCAAATTCTTCTTCAGCTTGACGAAGAAGAGATTGAAACTCAGGGTGAGTTAAGAAAGAGATTGGAACAATGTATCTGCTTCGGTTTTCACCAACGTAGACAGGGAAATGACCTTTTGGTACATCAATGGGGTATTCGTTATCGTCATAGTCGTTTTTCTTGCCTAAGCTTGAACATCTTTTGAGGATTTGCTTCAACACTGCATGTTGAGGAAGTTTGTTAGAGAATTTCTTAACAGCCATTGTTTAGAGAGAGAAGGATGAAGTAGTTGGGGTGATGGAGAATGTGGAGGGTGGTGATGAAGTAGTATTTGGGGGTGTATTTATGGAGAGTTTTGAAGAAAGTGTCATGTGGAGTGTGGGGACAAGTAAGGAAAGAAAGGACAGACCACGGGTGTATTGGGGTTTGTGCATTGTAACGTACGAAGGACATGGTGGGACCCAGTCCTATTGGTTATACTATTCTGTGTTTCTCTTACTTATGCCAACATGGACCTACCTTTTTTTCTCACCCATTTTTCTTTCAATTTTTTCTCTATAAAAGGCTAATTATTTTTGGGCTCTTAGTTAGGCTTAAAGGACATGAGAAAAAATCAACCTTTTTTAAATCTTTTATTGTTTTCTTTTGACTAAATTTGAGATAAGATTCTATATTAGTATTTTGATTTGAGTTTAATAGAGTTTACTATAACACAACTTTACAAAACCGTTTTATTTTCAACCAATGTGAAATTTAAAGATCTTTCTAATACACCCATGTCTAATACTTTTTTTTTAGTTTGGTGCGTGGATTTAAACGGTGAATTGTTCAAGGTCCGATTGATAGACTCTGATACCATATTAGAGTTTGACTTAACACAACCTTACAAAACTGATTTATAAGATAAGAGATGCTACTATATATAAACTGTTTTCAATGTTCTATCTTCAACTAATATGAGACTTTAGGATCTTTCTAATAGAGTTTAGTATTTTATTATTTTAGAGTTTTTCATGATAATACTATCGACAATTTTATTGTGGTAGTCCTTAAAATTGCTTCGAGCAAAATAGTTAAATATAAAAAAGTGTCTTCAGAGAATCAATAGTATATTTTTGTATTATTTATTTTTATATTTGATTTTTTAACATTAGGGACAATGAATCATTTAATGATAATTCAAAGTTCATGTATGGTGATAATTTATTTATTTTAGAACAATAAGTATTGTTTTTGAAAAGATTGATTTTGTTTAATTTGCTTCTTTATTATTATAATCGTTATCATATATAAAAGTTTTATTATAAAAAATGATCATTTGTTATCCTTACTTTGTGGATTTAGATGGCCTACTTTTGCAATCACATGCAAATGGCCAAGTTACTATACAATTTGTGCAACTTCAAGATATAATGTATGTTATAAATTTGTCAAATCAATTATAACTATTAAATTATTAATTGTCACGAGTTGTTATTACGAGTATAATTTTTCAAAGGGTGAGCTCATTCTAAAAAGAGAAACTCCTTGGATTTATAGGCTATTCTTTTTAGGTTAGACTTTTTAAATATGGAGCTCATAGAAAAATAAGTAATTCACTTTTTGATGATAGAAAATCAATTCCATTGCTTGCTTAATGTTTCCGTACAATTTTAAAGTTCTCATCCATGTTATTAGGCTTAAAAGTTCAAACCACTCCCAAATAAAGTGTGGCCTATATAGTATAGGCTCTCATCATCTAATTCAATAGGTAGGGTACAATTAACAAACTTAGTAGTTGTTGTATGAAAAGAGAGTTTGTTAAAAGTATAAATATAAACGAATTAGTAGTAGAGAGAATGTAATTGAAATGCCTCTAATATGACTAACTATAAAATAGATATCAAGTATTCTCTCCTCCTTCTCATAAAAAAGTGTGTCTTTTGCACTTTTTATATATTTTAAAATAAATATTTTTTATAAATTTTAATATTACAATTTTTTATTATTATATTTTTATTTATTAACTTTCACGTTTGTTAACTGACTATAATAAATAAAAATATTTTAATAAAAAATACTAACTTTATATTAAAATTAATATATTTAATAATTTTTTTAAGAACGATACAAAACTCAAATAGAATATTTATTATGAGACGAAGGTAATATAATACTTAGACGAAGTTAATATAAAGATTTGTCAAAATTCTGATGCTCTCCTTCAAGTTAGAGTGTAAAAGAATGTAAAAGAATGTAGAATTTAGAAAATATCATTTTAAAAGAATGAGGATTTAGAGAATTGGTGAGCAAATCACTAAGGTGATGAACTTTTTATTGTGTTGTTTCTTAGTAATTGAATGAGTTGTTCCATATGTACAAGTAAATAAACTTAGTAAGTTTTCAAGATCTTTCTATAAATTTTTGAGATTGATATAGAAGGTACTTAACAATTTATTATTTTCATGGACATGATCAGAATAAAATGTTAAATTACAGTAATGTATCATTATTATTATGGACATATACATTAAGGACTGCTGTGTATTTTTTTAATAGGATTTCTAGTAAGATAATTTTTAAAATTCCTTATAAACAACATGGAAAAAAAAACATAGTGTAAAATATATTCTTGTTTATGACTATCAAGCAAAAATAAAGGTGTCTAATTCACATCAAAATAGTATAGATTTTATTGTCCTAATTATAAATTAAAAATTATATATTTTGTTATCATAATGTGTTCTGATAATGTAAAGCATTTAGAAAAAACATCTTATAGTATATACAGTTTTAAATCTTCATAATTTTTTTTTGGCCAATAATAAAATTGAAACATTGTGTATTTTTGTGTTACATCATAAAATTTGCTTATCAATTTTATATGTACTAGTGTTTAAATGAAATGTATAAACTTAAACAAGTTTAGGTCTTATATTGATGATTTTGAAATTTTAAAGTATATATGAATTTGTTGATTAGTAAAGTATTTATTAAAATTTATAGTTTCAAATTATATACAAATTCAATTGTGTAAATTATTATCATAATTTACTGCTTAATGTATATGGAATTTGTTAATCACCAAAGTGGTCAAATTCATAAAAGTTTACAATTGGATTGATTATGAAATTCAATTTATTATTTCATTTCGAATTGAAGAGTGTATCGTATAATTTGGAATTATTTGAGTTATAAATTTGTTAATTACCATAGTGATCAAATTAATTAAAGTTTATGATTCCAAATTATGCAATTGAACTTGATTCGGATGCTATGTCAATAATATTTTCAATGATATGTATTATTATAAGGCATATATAGATCATCCAAAGATGGATCATGACTTATAAATAATGAAATTAACGTATTTGTTTTGATGATGTATATCCAAAGATATACATGCATGTTTTAAGTGGGTTTATTGTCCAATAAAGTATGTTTATTTAGCATCATTAGAATTTGTTGAAATGTATTTAAGTTTTACCCAAAGCTGAACTTTAATACATGTTTAAAGATTAGTTTGAATTCATGAAAGTTAATTAAAGTAGCATGTTTTAAATATTTGCGGTTACTAGCATGATGTTATGGACTCAGACATGAGATTGATAATGAATGAGAAATCTGCAACTATTACGGAGGGACATTATAGAGGATGGAAGGTCTAATAGGTTGTCTTTGAAAATTTGTAGGATTAATTATTAATTCATTAAAAATGACTCATGCAAATTAAAGATTGACTTAAATAAAATATATTTTAATGTGACGATTGTTTAGGTTGATGGATAATTAAGTCAATGAGGTTTTTATTTTGAATTTCAAAATAAAATGTAAATCCTTCTTCTCTCTCTTCATGCCTATTGGGACATGACCGTTGTGATATGATATGACTGTTGGAATAAGATGTCTATAAATAGGCACAATTAAGAAAGCAGCAACAATTATTCTCATTCTTTCTGGTTATCTCATAAAAAAAGAAAATGATAATATCTTAATCATCAAAGATACAAAAAAGAAGAAGAAAAAGAGGAGAAAACCATTCAAATCAAATATTAAGAACTGAACAATTGGAAACAAGATCGAGAATCAGACAAGAATCGACGTTATGGATCCGAATACGTTTTGCCATTTTTCATAGAAATTATAATAGTGTGGAAATCATGATATCAAGATCCAAAACATAAAATTTTCTAATATGTATCACCTTGACGCACTTATTGAAGTTATTGAAGAAGACCATACATGCAAAAACAAGTCTTCTTAGGAGAAATGTCCATTGATTCTAATCTAAAGGGTTTGATAGTTTCAATATGCGAAAAAGAGGTGAAATATCAATAAAATTTTAAGCATTCATTAGTCTAAGAAACTACAATATTTTTGAATTTCTCCCACATGTTGAAGAGGTTGTCTTCTTCATAGGGAGTTGAAATATTTTCATTGAAGAACTTGAGTTTATTCTTTGAAAAGATAGTGAAACGCATGAGTACGATTTCATGTTTCACAATTGTTTTCAATCAAGAGAGGATTCATAAGTTTAGAACCAACATTTCTCCAGAGTAAAGATAGTAGTGGATTGATTAAGAATTGGATCTTGAGGCAGTGGTTATTGTTTACAATGTATGCAAAATTTGTATTAAAGTTGTTGTTGTCATATTCTCCATTGTTGTGGTCATTATTTCTTGGGAGTTAATGTGGCATTTTTAAACACAGGCATTTTTTCATGTTGGAGAAAATGTATACTTGATACTTTGCTAGAAACAAGCAAGTTTGGATGAAAATCTACAAGTATTCAAATTGGATCAAATTATATGAGATATGAGATATTATGAGGAGGAAAATGTCAAAGTTGACAAAGTACAATAATAGAGTTAAATGGAGACGTTGTTTTACTTAGCACACATTTGACTAGATTTGGCTTATACTATTAGTATGGTGAGTCAACTCATGCATAATCTAAGGCTAAAACATTTGCAAGTTCTAGATCTAAGTTTTACAATATCTCAATGCCACTTCAAAGAGAAAACTCATACTTACATTAAGGTGGAAGCCTAACTATGGAGACAAATGTTAATGTTGAATATGTAAGTTCAAGAAGTGATCAAAGATGTATTATGACTATTATAATTTATTATGTAAAAACATTGTTACTTGGAGAATTAAGAAATAAATTTTAGTGAATTGATTAATAGCTTGAGTAAATTTTAGAGCTATGACATAAGAAATTTGTGACTGTTAGATGATTTGATGATACACTATGAAGGTCATATTTAACTCTTTTGTAAGA